CTTAAATCCATGTTCTATTCAATACATTTCATAGACCAATTCATTTCCTAGCTCATTTCCCTAAATCATAACTTGTTTTCCTCTTTTCGTGTCCACATCGCAAAACCGAGAGAAACTGAATTTTTGGCCTAATAATTTTGATCCAATTATTATTTGGTTGGATAGGAAATGAAATAAGATTTCCAACCATATATCATAAGCCCAATTCCGATTTAAAACGAAGAAGATATGAGCCAAACACTAAACTCGGCCCAAAACCGACACCCTTCTAGTAAAACGGCCATTATCTTAAAATCTACAAATGATTTTGACCTGATTCTAATTGGGTTGGAAGGTATACTTTATAATCTTTTCAATTATATATTATATGACTTATTCCAAGTTACAGATAAAAAGTTATGATGATTTTAAAAACGGGTAAAAAAGCTGAAATTACCGCACACAATATAAAAGCACCGTGTCACGGCGCCTGATGACGTGGCACGGTGTCTGGTGCTGTGACACGGTAGTTTACATCGTGTCACGGTGCTTTTTTCAAATTTTTTTTCTAGTGAAAATCCACTGTGGCACGGTACCTGACGCCGTGACACGGTACCTGCTGATGTGACACGATAATTCTCACCGTGTCACGGTGCTTTTTCCGTGTAATTTTCGCGTTTTCCCATACCGTGACACGGTGTACTGTACCGTGCCACGGTGGACACTGCCGTGTCACGGTACGTGTTCCGTACCACGGAATTTTCTCGTGTCTTTTCCGCGGAAACCCTTCACGCGTTTCACTTTCCGTAGGTCAAATGTGTCTCGAGTTGCTCCAATTTTCCCCGCGTCACGGGATTTTTCCCCGTCTGACGGTGCTTGGCACTGTGTCACGGTGCTCTCTGCCATGTCGCGGTGTTAACTTTTAGGATTTTTGTCTTTTTAGGGTTCCGTGTGTTCCCTCTGCTCATTTTCCCTATAAATAAGACCCTCATTTTTGCAGTTCGGGGCATCAAATCCTTCTCTCTTTCTCTCTTTTACACCAAAAATCATTCTCTTCTCTCTCTCTCTCATATTCTAAGCCTTAAACCTATATTTCTAATTACACCATTCTTTCCTTAAGCACTCCAAGGAGTCTATACTAAACCCGAGGTTCCATCCCTAAACCAAGTCGTGAAAGGTATAATTAACTGAGGGTTTGGACCAAACCAACTCTACCTTTAGTTAATTTTCATTTGATTTATATTTTTTATTGAAGTTACTAAATTAATGATGTAGCAATTTAAAGGAACACGCAGAATGTGAGTAATTAATTAATTTAATTACTTATTTTATTTTTAATATTGCTAGTATCATGATTAGGTTTATTTATATTTGATTTGACTAACGATATTATTGTTAAATTGCTTCCAATATTCATGTTTATTCTATTATATTATTTATGATCACCATATTGCATGTTTAAAGGGAATATGTAATTGAAAATCACGCCTTATAACATAAATTTAGATAACCGGTTTAGGTTCCTTTTTAATCTTGTTATTAATTAAAGTGATCGCCAATATTTTAGAATTATATGTTGCATTAATATTCAACCCATTTAGCTTAATAATAGATTGGAGCAAATTGAATCTTTGTTTGCATGCCTTTGAGATCGCAGGAATGTGTTTCACTATAAGAATCGAGTAGAGGCCAATATGGGCGAATGTGACTCCATGACTCACTTCGTACCATCATCCCCGATACTCCTTTCGTGGTTCCGAACCATATGGAGTTAGAAATCTCATGGATTATGAATGGGCTGTAACCTTCACGGGTCAACGTTGTTGCCTTTCATTGTCCCTTAATCGTGGTTGCCTTTTATGATCCGTGAACGGTTTACAAGTTCCTTAAAAACTTCTTGGCGGCTCCCTACTTTCCTTGTCTCTAATCGTATATGTCTATTCCCACTTCCTATGAGTTTAAAACATATTCACACATGCTTTAACGTAGGCGCACTTCAAACGACGCCTACACTAGGGTTGCTTGCAAGCGGTCATAATTCACACGCAGTGTATTTTGACATCAAGGCAACCAATCCCAAAAACCCTAATTCCTCTCTCTATATTACGGCTATCTCTCTCCTCCCCTCGCCCGTACGGCTGGCCACCCTTGGTGGCGCGTGTGGTGGTTCATTGCTCGCTCTTCTCCATAGAAGGTCAATTGAAGGGTTCAATTGCAACTAACTAGCATTAGTGGAGGTCTTAATCAGTGCCCGTGGACCAAGTAGAGGAATCACACTTGAGGTTCTTTATCTCCCATTGTTCTTGCTCGATCGCACGTGGAATCACGCTTCAAAGGTACAATTATATGTTCTTTATGTGTTATGCATTAGATCTTGGGATTAGGTACTGTATGAATATGATTCATGTTTATTCCGCAATTAGTACCTAAAAACTCCAACAGTGATATTAGTTAGCTTATTACATTTACGCATATTGACAATAATTCTTTGATAATCCACAATTTTAATTCAATTAGGAGGGAGAATAATTTAATTATGGGTCAATTTTTATATTAAATGTGATTTAACTCTTGGAACTCAAAATATCCATAACGAGGATCGAATTTTGCCCTATTGAATTTGAATTTTTTCAAACCCTAACCCTAATTTTTCAAAAATTTCGAACCTTTAATAAGCCTTAAAATCTGATTTTTGTGCTTTATTTTTTATTCGAGTTCGTTTTAAATATTCTTCTTGATTTTAATACCATTGATTTCATGTATAAATTATGAATTTTTCATGATCAATGATTTAATATAAGAGTTAAATTAAATTGGGGATTATTTTTCATGAAGAACCCTAGTTTTAAAATTAGATTGTGAATTTAATTTTAATAGGATGAATTAGCAGAAAAGTTATGTTTTAATTTATCATGTACCACACTAATTTTATTTAACAAAAGTTGTTAATTAAAATTGAAACAAAAAAAAGGGTTATTGCAGCAGCAACCACGACTGGATGGCGCGGCCACGATGGTTGCCGCTGTAGGTGGTCCGGAGGGAGTGGCGAGGTGAGGCAGCAGGAGGATCAGAAAGGTGTAGCAACATCAGCACCGTGCAACAATTGCGAGCCACTACTGCTGCTGTGCGTTGTCGCTGCCTATAGTAGCGTACACCTAACGGTGTATGGCCGCCATGGCTAGCTTCGGCTAGCCACACCACAGTGGTTGGCACATATTTTCAAAAAAAAAAAAAAAATCTATTTTTGAAAATATATCAAGATAATTACAAAATATTTTGGGATAAAATTAGTTTTATTTTGGATAAATATTGTTTATTATGGGATAAAATCAAATCTTTCAAAAGTTGTTATGCTTGATATTATCCATATTTAAAGTTGTTATTTTGATAATTATCCATAATTAAAGTGGTTAATTTTAGATAAGATTTGATAGGATATTCTGAGCATATTCCAAAAGGATAATAATTAATTTAAATAATGTGATTATCCCATACTTATTTTAGGATGTAATTGATTTAAAATTTTGTGATTGGCTAGTATTTAGGATAAAATTTCCTAATTTGTTAGGATAATCTTTAAGGATAAATATGATTTATCTTTTAAGATTAAAATAAGATTTGATTCTATCTCATGACTAATTTAGAATATATAATATTTTATTGATGGTCATGAATAATATATGAAATTATCTAACTGCATTAATTAAAAAATATGAGATATTTAGGTGTCATGTTTCCTTAATTGTGAACATTCGATGTTGTAGTTTAGGAAAGCATGATGAATGATTTATTATGTTGCAATTTAATAATATATGATGTTGTTTATTGATATAGAATGACTGGTATGACCCAGTAGATTACTAAATATGACCTGCGCATTGTAATGTATTTTTGTAATCTTAATGCGGTCTACTTACCGATAAAGTCTTTTTGTAATTTTATTTTATTTTATTTAAGTAGTAGATAGAATAGAATAGAATTACAGATTGCAGTTAATCCAAGCTCATGAAGTAAAGGCCCAAAGGAGCAAGGTGGATGAGATCCATGATGATTCAAGTGGGAGCATTTACTTTATTTGTTTTCTTAGGATTAGGGGCCATACTATGTCTTGTTTATTTATGCATTTAGTATTTTATGCATGTTAGATTTTATTGATGTTTTGTGATGATGCGCTAGAGTTCACTAAATAATCACAACATAAATGAATCTAGGTCCCAGTAATATTGAGGTTGCTTTTCCAATTAGATATCCAACAATCCTTTAATCGTGGGTGATGGGTCGGCCTCAGCAAAGCGTCACTTTTTATTTTAGGTATTGTGGGGTAGATCACGTTCTACACATTTAATTGGTAATACTCAACAAGGTTACCTAAAGGGTTTAGAACCTTGAAGCTAAGGGTAATAATTAAACATGTGATGATTAATTATTCAACCAAGAGTTACAAAGAGTTGTAATTAGTAAAGAGTTTACTCACCTTGAAAATGTAATGCTTGATGGTAAGGCCTCAGTCCGGTCAACTATTACAAGGGTCTTGGAATCATTTAATTCAATAGGGATCAATTAATATTGAATAAATCACTAGTGGAAAAAAGCCTATCCGTAATGGGAAAAAACAGCCCATCCGTAACGGGCAACGACCGTTATGTATGCGGCCGTTACGGATAGCAAATGTTATTTGTAATGGGCACTTGCCCGTTACAAATAAGTTGTTATTCGTAACGGGCAAACAAGTGCTCGTTACAAATAACGGGGTTTATTTCTAACGTACATTTGAAATGCTCGTTACGAATAACCCCGTTATTTGTAACGGGCATCCTAATGTCCGTTACGAATAACCCCGTTATTTGTAACGGGCATCCAAATGTCTGTTACGAATAACCCCATTGTTTTGCTCGTTACGAAAACTTACTTATTTGTAACGGGCCTAAAATCTGTCCATTACAAATAGTGTGTGATCTGATTAAAAAAAATATCTAGCAAATGCTGGATTACTTTGCACACTATTTTATCAAGTAATAATGAGAGATATTTATATTTTATACAAATATAGTATAAATTAATATACAATCAACTAATATCTTGCAAACTCACAAATTGACTTAACACATTCTACCAAACCGGCATTGTTCATTTATCCAACTATAAACATTCAGAATTTATAGCAAAACAAAATTGGAAACTCTGAACGACATCTCTTAGACAATGGCATTGGCTGCACTAGCAATCCTTAGCCACAAATCGGCACACTCCTTTCCAATGGGACCAGTAATAGCAGATCTTGAAACACAGAGTGATATGGATTAAGACGGGGATATATAAACAATTATATTGTAATCAACAATAAGCAGAGAAGTAAACTTCATATACAGTAAAATGATTGAATGAGCAATACATGCATTCTTAAAATAATGACTTAATTTGCAGCTATATATTACACAAACAACTAATTGAATTAGCAGTTTATCAAAAGACATAAATTTTAAGTAGAAAAATGCTAGAAGCAGACATATTGGAAGGCAAACCTTAATTTACAGTGGCAGAGAAAGGAAGCGGATCAATACCATTGCTCACAAGCGTACCCTAGAATCAACCATTCAAGGATGTGTTAAGCATTTTGATTAAAGATGCAGTCTTTAGGAAACACATCTATAGTATATAAGAAGGGCAATGAGAATTATGTCAATTATCATCATACCTGTTATCTCACTCGTTCAAGTTCTTGCTCCATTTGCATCAATTTTGAATGGCTCAACTCTAATTGCTGAGTATAGACCTATAAATAACAAAGTTCTAAGAACAATTAGATCAGCAGAAAACAAGTACCATAACTCATTAAACGTGGAACACTTCTCTTCCCACCTTTTCCGCATACGAATTTTGCGAGCAGCCTAACAATTTTTTGCAAGACGTCTTTGTACCTAAAAAAAGGTAGACAAGCAAAGAAATTTTCAAAAGACTGGAGAAGAAAATGCACATCAACATCAAAATCATCTGTCTGGAAAAACACTCATTTTAGTGTCAAATCCATGATCTCCTCAGGGGCCAGTGAATGGCAACACATACAAATGCAACTAAAACATAACTAGTGTCACATAAAGAAATCGATTGAGTATTATCTGATAGCAACAAGATGAAATATGTAATCACAATTTGCAACAATCTGGGATAAGACTAAGTGAGGCTTCGCCTTAAAGCCAATTGGAAATAGATAAAGTGACTTCCTAGAAGTGGAAAAAGGTACTTTGCTCTTTTTCCCAATGTGGAACAGCACTCAAGTGCATATATGGGGTTCAATTGTTCAAAAAATCCAAATGGCAATACAAATAAAAAGGGAGTTAGCCTCCAAGGGAACACATACTCTGTAAAGAACATATGTACATCATAGTGAACTTTATACTTATTAAAATCAGTTAATCAAATTTCAAAAGAAAAACAAAAAAAAAAACAAACATATATTCCATAAAACTTCAAATAAAGATCAAATTGTACTGGCTAAAATGATAATTTCTGAGTAAAATTGGCATAAACTAAAGCAAGTCAAGCAATTAAGATCAAATTTGACACTATCAAATCAATAATTACAAAAAAAAAATGTAAATTAGCATATAATAAGCTGAAAACAAGATCAAATTCATCATTTTACAACATTGCAGCATCAAATTTGAGAATTAACAAGGCCAAACAAAATGATAATATACAGAAATTAAAATAGAAGTAAGAAACAAATAAATGTACTGGATTTTGACGGGACTAATTCTGCCGGCGGCGAGTGATGCCGGTGATAAGATCTTGGCCAGATTTTGCAAATGATTTTAAATTATCGACAACCAAAGCAATTGGGTCCATTTAGAAAAACCCTAACCCTAAAATAATAGGATTTGAAGAGTGGATTGTGAGTTAAAATGGAGTAATTTTTCAAACAATATTACATAAATTAAACCCAAAAAATGAATGCATTTAACCTGAATAATTGGACCAAAACGCAAAGCTAAAGAACCCAGAAACCCTATCATCAAATTTCTGATTTTTGAATCAATAATTGATTCAAGTTTGTTGTTGTTATTGTATTTGGTTCAAATTGACGACGGCGGCGACGGTGGTTATGGGCAATCGATGCTTGCTCCGGATCTAATCCCACCCAGAAGCTGCTGACACTTCTTCGCCTTTTCAGGCTCAGATAATGTCTCATTGGCCTCGATCTCCCTAATATTCTTGAGCAAATCACTCGTGAGTTTTAGCTATTGACATTTTTCTGGTTTGAGTAGAGAGAGTGAGTGATTTGAGGAGAGAGAAAGAGCAGATGAGTGAGGAAGAAGAGAAATGCGGAAAGAGAGAGTGGTTTGAGGAGAGAGAAAGAGAAGAGGAGTGAGGAAGAAATGTGGCTGGGGAAGTGGGAACAGATCGAACATTTAACCCTAGAGAGTTATTTAGTTGTAACAGCCTTTATATTTGTCCGTTACAATTAATATCTATTCGTAACGGGCATTTATTTGCCCGTTACAATTATTAATTGTTCGTAACGGACATTTGTTTGCCCGTTACAAATAAGTTTTTCCGTAACGATCAAATATTTTGCCCGTTACAATTACTCTTTTTGTAATGGATTTTATCATGCCCGTTACAAATAGGGTGTTACAAATGACAATTTTTCCACTAGTGAATGTTTTAAAGTTACCAATTTAATTCGCTTATGGCACTTGAAAATTATATTAAATACAATTGAATTTTGCGTTTACTTATAAGTAACATGTCGTTCTAATTTTATTATTATATATAATCTCCTCTATTGAAAATAAAGTTGAGAAACGTTCTCAAAAGTTTAAAAGATAATCCATAAACCTATTTCCAATTTTGTAAAATGGTTCTAAAAGGCAAGTTTTGGAAACCCATGTCACATGTCTAAGGTTGGTTTTGTTCAAAATGTTTGAGAAAATTGCCAACACATCTTCATTTAGAAAAGTGTTTCAAGGGATATAATGAGATGGGAGGTACAAATCGTCTAAAAAACAAGTATAAAAATCTAATAAAATCTCTTATCTTCAATATGATTTAATATAAGAAAGTTATTGGAAATCTCTATGATCAAAAGTTGATCAAGTGACGTTATTCTTCATCCCTTTTATATAAGAGTTAATAGTTGATTAAACTCTAATATGAATAGTGATTGAATAGACTTAGCAAGATCATGAAATGTTATTAAAGTAGTTAAGCAAAGCATCATTTTGAACCTAAGAGAAATGTTCTAAGTGGCTCAAATGGGAAAGGTTTAAGAATATATGAGGATTACATTAAGAAGTTATAGGCCAAGAAATGAAAACAAGTTGCTACTTCTCAAACCTAGACTGCTTACATGCTAAAAGTTGTTATGAACAACAAATGTTTCAAATTAAATGGACCAATTCCAATTGATTATAAACTACGTCATATAGTTGGAAGGTAAAAGAATGGAAATGTTCTAAATTTAAGTAGTATATAATAAAAATTGATTTAGCATATTGCTACTTCTTGTACATAAAATGTCTTGTTTAGATCACTCATCTCACAATGTGGTTGAACTAAAGGAAGAAGTTATGGCTAAAGGAAAAATAAATCTACAAGTTTAGAAGCAAATGTTGCTACTTCAAAAGTAGAATCTACAAGTCTGGAAGCAAAATTAGCAACTTTACAAGTAGATACTATATTTCACCTTACCTAGTGTAGGGAATAATTTCAAGCTTTAATCCCACTAGCTTGAACCCCACTGTGATCATGCACTAAAGTACGGTGGCGTCCAAAAGGGAAGAAGATAGAGCAAAAAAGTCGCCAACAAGTTTTTTAGGAACTTGTTGAAAGGAATGGTGTCCTTCGAACAAGTGTACTATTCCGTTAGTGGGTTCAGAATTATTAGAAAGCTAATAAATTCAGTGAGGTCAAGTGATCGGAATGCCTGGGTGGAGGCCGCTTCCGATCAGTAATATTAATGAATAATTAATATTACAGCTTAATCTTGACTGAACCCTTCGGGTCACACCCAAGCATTCAACAAACCGAACCGACTAATTAATTCGGAAGGAATTAATGAGTCGACCGAGTAATATTTATTTAGACGTCGGAAATTCGAGCTTAGAGCGTCGAAACCGAGCGTCGGAAGTCGAGTCGAAAAATAGTGAAAGACGAGACGAGAAATAGTAATAAATCAACAAAAGACCAAAATACCCCTAGCATCGGAATGCCCAAGAAAACCGAGTGCTAAGGGCGTATGGCCTAGCATGGTGGCTAGCATGCGCACCAAGCCGAGCCTAGGCTGGCTGGTGCGTGCTAGCGCACCCATGCAAGCATCGCAAGGCTAGGCACTGCCTAGTGCGTGCTAGCATGCTAGGCACAGCCTTGTTCGCGCAATGGCTAGCAAGCCATGCCGCAACAAGCTGCAGCAGCTAGCACGCTAGGCGCGCCAGCTCGCCACAGCTAGCAGCAGCATGGCTAGGCCATTGCTTGCTGCCTAGCAGCGCTGGCCAAGGCACAAGGCCAGCAGCAGCCCGCACAAGCATGCTGGGCTTGCTGGCCAGCAGCACCTGGTAGCCCGCATGCGAGTGCTGGGCCTGCTGGGCTTGCTGGGCGTGGCTGCCACGGACAACAGCGCATGGCAGCCCACCTTGGCTGCCTTGGTGCCCAAGGGTGGGTTCCATGTGGCTTGTGGTCCTTGAGTGTGTGTGGAGTGAGGTGGCCGGTTATGGGAGAGGGAGTGGGGAGCAAGTTTAGTCCCCCCCTTCTCCAAGTGGTCCTCACCTAACCACTCACATGAGCTTGCCACTTGTTGATTTATTACTAGCTTGATTATTAATTTTATTTTAGCTTTAAAATAAAATGGAAAAATCATACTATCCCACATTGATGGGAGAGTAAATGATACTCCCATCATTTCCTATAAATACCCAAGTATGGGCATTGGGAATGATGCTTGAGTAAGAGTTGGAAAATGCATCACAATTAGTGAAAACCTTTGAACTCAATATAATTACTCGGGTTTTATTGGTCGGGTCTTGCTAACCCCAAGACATCGGACCTAGTCAGTTTTGTTGGTGCGGGTGGACTTCGTTGGAGGTCTCCGTGTGAGCGGGACTTGAAGCTTTCAAGTAAGAGCTCATTTTGGAGCGAAGCACGCGTCAAAGGTAATTAGCTTATCTTAATCTTGTGATTAATTTAATTATGCTTATGGTTTTATTTATTGCGAGTGCGGGTCTTGTTTTTGGGTTTGTTTCCGCGGTGAGTCGGACTCACCAAACCCCAACAGCGGTATCGGAGCCTCGCTCGTTTATTTTTAAAATCATAATATTTTCAAGGTGTTTTTATGGCTTAATTTTTATGGTTTTAAGTTGCTAATTAGATTAGTAACTCGTTTTTTCCAATTTTTACCTCGTATTAGAGCTGTCTTCAGCTCCCGAACCCAGATTTCGACCCAAAAATAGTGAATTTTGGGTGGAAAAGGCGTTTTGGAAATGGTTTTACCCTTTAGGACTCTGTTTTTAGCCAAAAAACGACCAGAAATGCATTTTTCGAGGGATTTTTTGTTTTGACGAAAAATTTAAAGTCTTTCTAACCTTGAAAATTGATTGCATATTTTATGGTGGTTATGAATTTGGTTCTTTCCTTTATTTATATGCAATTTTAGACCACTTTAAGCATGATTACTTGGTAGTAATTGGTGCTTGAAAGTTTGGTTTTATTTTTTCACATAATTGCAAATTTATTGCATTAAGTGTGAAATTGTTGTTCTTTGTTGCTTCCAAGTACTAAAGATTCAATCTTTATTTATGATAAGTGATTGAAACTTTGAGTTACTAAATTCCATGAATTTTGGTTAAACTTTGTTGATTTAATCATTTTTTAGTTGATTGGAATCATAAAGTTTAAAACTTGTGATTGAAATTGGTTTATCTTCATATTGGAAGATATAATTTTTTTCATGGAGTCACAAGTATTAAAGTTGGAGTCTTTATTGAACTTATGTTCATTTTCCAACTCCCTTTTATTTTGTCAAAATCTCAAGATTAATTTAAAGTGATTAAATTAATAGTGAGAATTGCCCTAATTTATTTTATTACACCAAGTAAAACCAATTTTATTAAAGAATGGTTCTTGGAAATAAATTTGGTTAATTGCATTTGGATGAATTATTTAAGTTAGACTTGTTATTTTTCATTTTTCCTCAAAATTGATTCTAAAATTAATTTAGAATTGATTTATAATGTCACACACAAAAATCGATAATTTTCGAAGCATTAGCACGCAACACGAGGCGTAAGAGCCCCGAGCTAGCTCTCGGCCAGCTGGGCTGCTCACGCAACCCATATGTGGCTGCCGAGGCTGCTGGGCACTTCGTTCTTAGGTGCTTGGTGCTGTGCGTGTGTGTGTGCGAGGAAGGGCGTGGGCTGCTGCTCGCTGCCAGCAGCAAGCAGCATGGTGCATCAGCAGCATAAGGCTGTGCGCGTTGTGCGTGCTGCTACGCTTGGTTGGGCTGGGCGTGGCGCATGCGAGCACAAGCAGCCCACATGCATACTTGGTGTTGCGGGGGTGCGCATGGGCATACTACGTGCTTGTTGTACGATACGTACAATCCCATAATTGGCACAATAACCCCGGGTTATTAAGGCGATGCTATTTTAAAGTTAATTTTAGCGTTGCTTAATATGTAAATAAGGGTATTATTTTTTGCACTCCAAGTCTTAGTGCTAGGCACTTAGACATTTTGGAATTCGTAATTTTGCTTAAATTGTCGTTTTAATTATTTTGTTTATTTAATTAAAATTTTTGGAGGCTAGGCCTCGGGTTTTGAGCGACATTAGCAAAATTAATTTTGGCAAATATTTGGGTTCACCGACTTAATTAGTTAAGTTGGATGCGGAATTCAGTGGGAGCGTCTCTAGTTATTTCCATAACCGGTTAAAACAACTTTGACTAGTTTAATTAGGCGTGTTAATTGGATTAACCACCTAGATTAGTTACTAGTTCTCGCGCGTTTTATGCATTGTTACTTGTTTATCATTGTAAAATGCATGGGCCATTCACAGATAGTGAATGGATGAATGGAATGTAAAATTCTCTCACGGGTTTTATGAAATGTCAACTAGTGGGGCCCGATTAGGATAGAAAATACGGACTGTGATCCGTGATGTATTTTTGTAAATCTAAATACGGTCTGCGAACCGTTGAGTATTTTTGTACCTTAATATTTAGATTAGTCCTAATCGTAGATACTAGCAATTGTAATATTTTGGTCAAGTCTTGAAGACGGGGTTCTTAGAAGACAAAGCCATGAAGTTGCAAAAGAAGACCTTTTGAAGACTTGAAGATCTCAAGGGGTCATGCTAGTTGCCAAATGCATCTCTATTTATGTTTTCGATATATATTTGTGTTTATATATATATGAATTATAAGTTAGATGCATGTTTAGGATTTCGAATGTTGAG